GAAAAACAAAGGTAAAAAGCCAGCAGCCAGATAGGATTTGAAATATTTAATTCGATGAAAATGAGGGGCCATACGATGTATGAGGGGCATGACATCGGTAGCGGCTTCATAAACCTGAGCGACTACAGGACAAGCTGTGAAGACGAGAGCGAGACTTGCTGATCGTTCGAGCCATAATTTTAATTTGTTGGAGGCAGTTGGAACGAGAAGATGGTGGTGAAGCGTTGTCCATAGAGTTGGATTGTTGAGTACGATTGCCCTCCATCTTCGACAAACGGCAGAAAGAATAAGAGGACCAGACTCCGAGATATTGTCCTGATCGCAAGTAAGATTACAGACTGGATGACAACAGTAGGCGAATATGATGTCACAGATCTCAGGTAACAGAGAACGGAAAGGAGCAATTGCAATTCTCTTTGCTAGAATGTTGGCTTTTACTTTTGAATGCTCATAGATCAGAGCATTACGCTGTTCCTAAGTATAAAGAATGAAATAAAATCAATAATAAAAACCAACAATAATGAATCTTACCTCTAAATCTGTTAAAACGTGTTCAAGATGTTGAATCCTATTTCCTAAATGTACTAGACATCTTTGGTCTGAAGATATTGAATAATCAGAGTAAAAGGACATGATGGTTTTGAAGAGAATTATATGTAAATCGTATGTAATAAAATATTTTAATATGTAATGTAATGCGGAGATAATAATTTTGAAACTAAAAACGGACGAAGCCGGGAGTGTGAGAAAAATAAAAAGGTCGGGTTGAACAGGATTTGAAGACGTTGTTTGTGAAATTCTACCTTTCTTTACCTTTAACCACTTCCGACCGACGCCATGCTCACCACTCGAGGTGCTGTTGCCCGTATCTCAAAGAGGGCTTTTAACTCTGCTAAGCAGACAAACGCCTTCTTCTCAACCGCTGCTCTCGCCAACAGGGCTGCCTTCGTTGCCAGCACCAGCCAGCGTACTCCCGTTACACGTCCCTCAAAGGTTTCCTCTACTCCTGGTACGTTCAATTTCATTTTATTCTCGTGTTATATACTGTTCATTTCTATTTGCTGATCGAGTCTTCCACTTTTTGTCTTTTTACTTGCCTTTTTTTGCACCCGAAAAATAGCCCGCTCCTATGCTACTGAGGCAAAGGGCGCTTCCGTTGGCCATGTAAAAACTGTCATTGGTGCCGTCGTCGATGTTCAATTCGAGACAGACAACCTTCCCCCAATTCTCAACGCTCTTGAGGTTCAAGACTTCTCTGGTGGTCGTCTTGTCCTTGAGGTCGCGTCCCATTTGGGTGAGAACTCTGTCCGTACCATTGCTATGGATGGTACAGAAGGTCTCGTTCGTGGTACCAAGGTCGTCGATACTGGTGCTCCCATCATGGTTCCCGTCGGTGCTGCTACCCTCGGTCGTATCATGAACGTTATTGGTGAACCCATTGACGAGCGTGGTCCCATCAAGGGTGTCAAACTCTGCCCTATTCACGCCGAGCCTCCTGCCTTCGTCGAGCAGTCCACTACTGCTGAAGTTTTGGAGACTGGTATCAAGGTCGTCGATCTCCTCGCTCCCTACGCTCGTGGTGGAAAAATTGGTCTCTTCGGAGGTGCCGGTGTCGGAAAGACTGTGTTGATTCAGGAACTTATCAACAACGTTGCCAAGGCTCATGGTGGTTTCTCCATCTTCTGCGGTATGTTCTTTTCACGTTTTATCGCGTAAATTTGGTAGAGTTGACTTGTTTTTTTTAGGTGTCGGTGAGCGTACCCGTGAGGGTAACGATCTTTATCACGAAATGATTGAGACTGGTGTCATCAACCTCGAGGGTGACTCCAAGGTCGCTCTCGTCTTCGGTCAGATGAACGAGCCCCCTGGTGCCCGTGCCCGTGTTGCTCTCACTGGTCTCACCATTGCCGAATACTTCCGTGACGAGGAAGGCCAGGATGTGTTGCTCTTCATTGACAACATTTTCCGCTTCACTCAGGCCGGTTCCGAAGTGTCTGCTCTTCTCGGACGTATCCCCTCTGCCGTCGGTTACCAACCCACTCTCTCCACCGACATGGGTGGCATGTAAGTTTAAATTTTATGCTTTTTCATTATTATTTCTCATCACTTGCACAGGCAAGAGCGTATTACTACCACCAAGAAGGGTTCCATCACCTCCGTCCAGGCTGTCTATGTCCCTGCCGATGATTTGACTGATCCCGCCCCCGCCACTACCTTCGCCCATTTGGATGCTACCACTGTGTTGTCCCGTGGTATTGCTGAGCTTGGTATCTACCCCGCTGTCGACCCCTCGACTCCAAGTCACGTATGTTGGACCCCCGTATTGTATGTCTACTTTTTTCACATCAAAATTTGATGGATGACTAATCATATTCCCAAAAGGTTGGTCAAGAGCACTATGATGTCGCCACCGCTGTCCAGAAGATCCTTCAGGACTACAAGTCGCTCCAGGATATCATCGCCATTCTCGGAATGGATGAGTTGTCCGAAGAGGACAAGCTGACTGTCGAGCGTGCTCGTAAGATCCAGCGTTTCATGTCCCAACCTTTCCAGGTCGCCCAGGTCTTCACTGGTTACGAGGGCAAGCTCGTGTCGCTCAAGGACACCGTCCGCTCCTTCAAGGAGATTCTGTCCGGTGCCCACGATTCCCTGCCTGAGTCCGCCTTCTACATGGTATGTCTACTACTTCCCTTTTAATTTTCTATCGATTACTCAATGCATTTTATAGGCTGGCACTATTGAGGATGTCAAGGCTAAGGCTGAGCAGCTCGCTAAGGAGATGGCCGCTTAGACACAGTTATTTTAGCATGGCAGTCGGTTATACCTAAAATTCTCGTTTCTCGCCTATAGAGTATGATTAATTCATTACCAAAACAAAGCTTATACTCAAAACCTTCTGCGTCATGACTAAATGAGCTTCAAGTGATCTCGAGTACCAAAGCATGCCTACCCTAAACTCCCCTCATCGGACTCTTCTTCCTGACCCTCTCTATTTACTTGGGGATTTTGGAACGTATGTCTCGCGTTGGTGAACGGGACCAAGCCAAGCTACAAGCGCTAACTCTTGGTACACACTCCAATCAGCCTCATTTCCATAAAGATACTGACCACCAGCCGTGTAGGTATAACACCTCTCTTTATGGTTTGGCCTGACATCGACGTCACCCCTTAACCAAAAAATGGGTGAATACTTGCGTTGATTTCCTTCATCGCTCTCCATGCCGTCCCAGCGCCCGTCCTCTGATGCAGATATGATGGCCTGGGCCTCCCACTCGCCATAAATGTAGCGTTCGATGGGTAACGCCTTTTCTTCCTTTGCCCAATGTGCGTCATTCTCGAGCTCGTCAAAATCGATGATGGTATTGGCAAGGCAGTGACCTCGTCCATCCTGTTCCTTGTACAACATTTTCAAGTTGGCATCAAGCCTAAATTCCCTGAAAAGGGTTAAAATGTCACCATCAACGCCTTTGAGATATTTCTCAAAATCCTTCAATTTCACGTATCTGTCTCGGCTGTCAACAGGGTACTTGTGAAGGAGGTGGACCCCGATGTAACCGCCTTTGGGGAGGAAGCAGGGATTTTTGAGTAATTTTTTGAATTGTTCGCGGAGTCGAGTTGAAACGTGGGTTTTTGCAGCGGGTGCGGGATCAGTGGCTGTACCGAAGTATAGGTTGTAGGTGATAGTGGCCCGGTACCCAGAGATAATAGGGGTGACTTCGTGTTCGACGTCGCTGAAGAATGCAGTAAAGGCAGCAGTGCAAGGGTCCACGGAGACGGCGGCAGCTGAGTCGAATTCCCACTGTTGGGCGTTGTGCCGAAACAGAAGTGATCCACCTTCATGCACGGTTGGGAGTACAATGACTAGGGAGCCAAACATAGATTGACCGCGCGGCGTGTCTACGTGCGATTTGAAAAAAGAACCGGGTCCTAAGGTTGGAAGGTTAGCAGATACTAATCGACGACAGCTCCCCACTGACCATAAACATTTAATTTGTACAACTCAAAGCGGATTATTGGATCTTCATCCTTCTGTACCAACTTTTGTTTCACAATATCTTCGATACCCAATTCGATGGGATTGAAGTGTACAGAAAAGTTCGAACTGTCCATTTTCAACGCTTTGCGGTATGATTCATCGTACACCGTTTCCTGTTTGAGCCCGAACGTTGCTGGCTGGCATGCTTTGACAAGTAATTCAAGGTCAGGCTGGGTGGCTTTGGAAAAATCCACGCTCCTGATGATATGATTAATGGACGACCTGACACCTGAAGTCCATGCCACTGACCCAGATAACTCATCTGTTGCATAGAAGAGCTTGGAATGTGTCGCCTTGAGAGGGATAGTACCTGTGATGTATGGGATTCTCGTATAAAACCCCTCCTGGATTTCACTAATAGTGGCTTTCAGAGACTCCATTGCAGAGGAAATGGTGAAGGAGTACCAGTAGGAGCTTCGTCTGCCTTACCATATGAGACATCGGACTTGGTAATTGATTACCTCATGTGGGTTCGCTGAGACTACGAGTCAAGGATGTGTGTTGGGAGGCCTAGGTGGAAAGAAAGTTACCATCCTAGATAAGATACAGAACCGAGGAATTCCGAGCAAAGCAAATTCATGGCAGGGTTTGTCCTGGGTTGGATGGCAAGCAATCGAAGACATCCAGTGATTAGAGTTGAGGTCCTTGCATAGTATGCATACTGCAGAATCCAGAATTTATTTTGTCTCTCGAGGTTTGATCACATGTTGTGCTTCGATTATGTCAGAAAGTAATGGGCGCTTGTATTTTGCACATAGGCAAAGGACACAAGAGTAAGAGAGAATTATAATACACGCAGTCTGTGGTGAATGCAGTATAATTTGTACACTTTTTTACCTCTAAAACAGAAGGACCGAAAACGAGACTCGAACCAAAAAAACGAATTTTACAATGTGGGTTAACACCTAAGTAAAAGCGAAGTACTCAGAATTGAACAGAATTATGTGAAAACCCAAAAAGTAAGCGACGCCAGCAGGATTTGAACCTACGCCCTCAAAGAGGAACAGATGATAGGCAATTCCGATCGTGAAGATCTGAAAACATTCTAATCTGTCGCCGTAACCACTTGGCTATAGCGCCTGTGATTTCCCACCAAGCCTGTAGTACCATGTTCGCTGAGCCTATCTAGGTGTTTGTCACTCGGGAAAAAGCAGTCCATTATCTAGTTTAGTAAGTAGTTAAAGTACGCCGGTTACGAGCGTTGCAATTGTGTTTATTATATTATGTGCACGAATATACACACAGATATCTTCATGTTGATGACTCCACCTTTTTATCAGGACACACACTTATCAGATGAACATGATACATACTTATTTTCAAAATAAGCTGCTCAAATTTAGAATACCCGTATGAAGTACCAATTTAATTCTGGTGCCACTTCACCAGCATCGCCTCTTTTACAGTAAAGATACTATGATATAAACAATGATTCTCCATCATCAAGTCCTTGCGAAAATCCTGCTTCATATTCTCCTTCAGTTCTTTTCTGAATGATCCCTTCAGCGACAGCAGGTTTAGTGTCGGCGATATACTGTCCGGTGAAGCCCAACTTTGAATTTGCCGCTGAGAATGCCTGCGTAGCAGCGAACCCATCTGAGTAACCTTGTGCGTTGATTTTGCTTTCCGGAGAGAAAGTACTCCCAGCTTCAAAAAGCTTCCGTGTTCCAATCGTAGTAAAACGACGAAGTTCGGCAGATGGCCGGTGTAGTGATCGCAGCATCTATGTTAACAATTGAGCACAGATATAGAGTGTAGGTATGAACGACACCCACCTTGTTAAGAGTTTGAGAAAGAGATCTTGGCTGTGACTCTTTGCATAGGAAAGTAGAGGAAGGGTCTTGCCAAGGGCTGCCTTGAAGCACCAGCCTGTATCCGAGTCGCAGTCCTCCTTCATGTACGCTGTAAAGAAATAAGTCGCTTTAGCGAATGTTAACCATTGTTGCTGAAATATGTGCTTACTCCAAAATGCCCAACGAGGAATTGCATTTGTATAAACGTTCAACTGCTGATCACAAAATGCCTTCTTTGCAGCCTCCGCATCGTCTTCATGCTCAAGACTTTGAGGTGTGAGAGCACAAGACCATTCGCCGACAATCAGGTTGCGTCGTTGGCAACTTGCGACTTCACTGAGTGATGCAGACACTACCTTGCCAATTTCGGTGGCATGGTCGGAGGCATCTTTACAGCCTGCGTCTCCGAATACGAAGTAAGCATGATGGTCTTGGACTACAAAGTCATCCCTTTGAGAAACATAACGCGACAGGCGGCCGAGGTCAAACCCATCGTGTAAGTAGACTGCAAGCGACTTTGCCAGAGGAGTTGCACTCTGCACAACGTCGATAGCTTGGGTATCTGAGGTAAAAACGTCAGAAGTAAAGCACGAAAAAGTCGGAATTATGTCTAATACTCACAAAAGTCTTCCAGCAAATCCGTGTATTGCGGTTCGTTCAGAAGTTCAAGGCCCACAACGTTATTCACCCCGGCAAGTTCTTTGGACAAAAACCGCAGCATTTCTATTGTCTTGTTGACATTATGTGGATCGCGAAAGAGGCCTACCACGCCATCAGACACTCCAGAATGCTCGCTGCCGCTTTGACTTCCAGGTGCAGCATGTAGGTCAACCAGAACGCCAAGTCCATGTTCAGCGGCTTGCTTGATTACGCGCTTCACCCTGACCCATGAGTTTTTGTACACTGACGCAACGGGTTCGAAAACGGTGTTGTTCAGATAGCTGGAAGGGAGATTCCAGTAACCTATGGGGAGGCGAACGGTGTTGATACCTTTGTCGGCGAGGTACTTGTGATGAACGTGTTCCAGTGATGTTCTAAGAGAGACCAAGCGGAATCCACAGATCCGCATCCATTTGCGATATCAAGCTCGGACGCTTTGGGGTCAGTAGCGCACATAAAGAGAGAGGCTGTAAGTCAATTTTCATGCACAAACCTAACAAAAATGGCAATTCAAGTCGAAGGGCAGCAGTAGTTGATGACGACTTACCATGAACCCAAATTGACAGCACGTTGTTGGCGGTATCGGTATATGTCTGCCGCGCTCTGGTCAAATGTATCAAATGTTTGGTCTGAAACGGTTTCGTTGTATGGGTCAACCTGACAGTTGTTGGCAGGCAGGATAGACTGTAGACTGTGCAGCGAGTTGGGGGATGTAGGTGGTGATTGGACTTGGGTATGCAACGCTAGAGACGGGAGACGGAAGGGACCCAGTTAGGGGTTTGGCAAACGCAGTTGTCAAGGGATATGTCAATAATGTTGAAAAGCTGATGACGGGGAGGATATGCATTGTCAATTCGACTTAGGGTAACTAATATCCCCGCCCCTTTTTATATGTGCTTTCTTTTATTATTTAAATGTTGAGCAGAGCTTTGCTACGTCGGAATATCTTCGATCCAGATTAAATTGTCGATCCACGACGCAACTTCGCAGATGAACACTCGAGTAGTGGAGGAACATCCAAAGTCAAGGTAGACTGTGCAACTTGTGAGAAACAGGTGCAAAGAATGTTCATCACGATTCAAGTTAGGGACAAAGGCGAGCTGACGAAAGGTTCCCACAGATTAGCGCGTTGAGCTCTATTAGCCTTTCGCCATGTCAAATTTGCGCTGGGTATAACGCGAAAGCTATATTGAATGTAATGTATGTATGTATTTACAATAATGCGATGTGCGAAAAGGTCCTGAAGAATGTGTAATTTGCTTGAATGGTGAGGGGAATGATGATGAATGCTTGACAAAAAGAAATGGAAACAACAGAATCATGAAACAGGCGATTGAATAAAATTATGTAGTATGCGACAGGGAACCCAACCAGTGAAGGAAATTGCGTTCGAAAGTAGACGAGACACGGAAAAAACGGAGGACGTGCACTACAATCCTCCACCCCTTCCGAGGACGGTATCTCTTTTTTCTGCACCCCTGCCTTCAAACCTCGCGCTTGCATGAAATACATGAAACATGGGTCCTGCGATGACCATGGTGAACAATAATAGGCTAAGACGACGAGGTTGAGGTGGGGTGACGATAGGGGGTGCAACCCAGGAGACCACCCTGACGAAAAACAGATTTTCAAGGTTTTCTGAATTCGCACAGCACGGTGTAGATCGTGTTGAACGCCGTGTAGATCTCTTCCCTGACCTGAAGGCCACGAGAACAAGTGTCAGCGGACATGATTCCAGCGAGGTCTACTGGAAATCCAAGCTGAGGGGAAATCAATCCCCTCACGAGAGCATTATAGCGGCGTTCCGCGACTCTCACTAGCTGGCAATAAAGCCAGAAAAGTACGAGTAGAGGAATGCAGAAACGCCTCGACTGTGGATGAATGAAAAATGAGACCCACCTTGGCACCAGTTAACACGATCTTGCCCGACACGAAAATCAACAAAACAACTTTGGGTTTGATCATGCGGTAAATCAGACCGGGGAACAACTAGATAAAGATTGAAATCAGATGACGAGATGGTCAGACACGAGGGAAAATGACGAACCTCTGGTTCATAACTGCTGAACTGTCCGTGGCTGTATGCGAGACCCTCCAAACGAATGGGGAATTTGACGTCGCAACTGCCTACGATATTCTGAATCTTGAACTCAGAGAACTTGGCGTCGAAACCAAGCTTCTGGACGATTCGCGCATATTTGCGAGATGCAAGCCGTGAATCGTCTTCAGACTTGGCACCAGTGACGACCATCTTGCCTGAAGCGAAGATAAGGGCGGTGGTCTTTGGGTCTCGAATACGCATAATCACGGCTGCAAAACGCTAAAAACACGTAGGAAAAAAAATAGAAGCTCGGCTTGTTGGGGGGTTAGAAAAACTGGTGCAAACCAACCTTTGGATTATACTCTGCATTTCTTGCGTGCAAAGCAATGGTCTTGAGGTCAAGTCGACAGTCAAGATTGACAGTGGCGACGATGTTTTGAAGAGTAGGAACGATGCCTTCAACAGCTGTGATGTGTTGTTGCTCCAATGTCAAAGGTGCAGGGGTAGTTGGTACTTGAGCTGCTGGTGGTGAAGATGGACCTGCAACAGCGTTTGCAGTAACATTGGGAGCAGTAGTAGCTGTAACAGGTGGTGCTGATAGAGGAGATGGTGCCTTTGGTTGGGCATAGGCGTTTGCATTGTTCAAAGGAGATGGGCCTGGTAACGCGAGACTATTTGGTGCTGGTAAAAATGAACCACCTGGTAGAGCTAGACCATTTTGCGGTTGTTGCTGCTGCTGCTGTTGCTGTTGAGCCTGCTGTTGTTGAGGCTGTTGGAATTGAAAAGGTTGAGCTGGGTTACGACCAAAAGTAATCTGACGAGCAGGAAGGGCGAAAGACATTTTTTGAATTCAACAAAAAAAAGAAGAAAAAAATTCTAGTTAAGCGTGGGAATGTTTGTGTAGGGGAAGAAGGGGGGAATTGGAACTGCGAATCCCTCTCCTTATATACGTCTCAAAATTCAAACTCCGACATTTTTGAGTCATCATTTCATTACGTAACCCTCTTTCTTTGTTTCGATGATGTTCTCTTTAAATCATCAGCGGCTGCCATAATTCTTCAAATGTCTTTCCCCTCAACTACTCCTCATAACCATCTACGCTTCATTGAATTATTCTTATTGATTTTATTCTCATTTTAAAAGAATTAAGATTTTAAAGCTAAAAAAAATAAATTCAGAGGATGGCAACCAACCTGACAACCCCTATCACATCGTAACAACAAGATACTTCGTCTTCTCTATTTCTTGCGACATACATAAAGCCTTTCTTTCAAACCTTTGAATCTTCTGTCTTCACTGTGCTGCCCATTGTGCTTTGCTTTTTGCGCAGTGTTCCACGCCTCAACCCTGTCATTCAATTTTGCCCACGACTACGGAACTTGAAATGCACAGCCATTGTCTTCCTTCAGCACAGTTTATAAAAGCCTGTTCATCTTCAGCCTCTGTCTGTATGGCAAACACTTTGCTGAAGCTTGTTCCTGTTTTAATCGCACATCTCCTTGACTTCTTCCAGGTTTTATTTAATCCCTGCATACTTACGCGAATTCATCACTTACTCATCAATCCGACACGACTATCTCCGTCAC